GTCTTTGTCATTGGTGGAATAATTCAAAGAATGACCTATTAATAGTTCACTAAGATAAGCTATGAGGTGTCCCTTTTGCAATAAAACTACACCTTTGCCAATGTTAAAAGCATCACATTCTAACTTAGAAGTCTTCAAAAAATTAGGCAAAGCTAGGATGTGAGCATTCGTCAATCTTTTTTTGAGCTCTTGAAAAGCTTCCACTTGTTTTTCTTTCATGCTTAAATACCACATTTTTATTGACCACATAATTTTAAAAAGAATCTAATATACTTATTTTTGTTAACAAGTTTTCTATAAAGACTAATTAATCCATGAAAGCCTGCATGTCACTCATACTTTTAGGGGTGGGAAAATCTTCGATTGCTTTTACCTTTTCCTCATTAACTTTCACTCTTAGGGAACTTACAACAATTTTCAAAAATATCGCAAAAAAGTGCATTTTCGTGACATTTGAGAGAAGTTGCATATTCAAAAAGGACATATCCAACGCTCAAGATTGAGAATTTGAACTTGAAATTTATGAAAGTTAGTTCCAAAAGGTTACAAATGATGTGACAATTATGCAAGGACAGGGTTAACTTTTGATTGTCTATAACTTAGAAAAAACCTCTATTGTTAACGGAGTTAAAGTTTTTATATAAAAGTCTATAAAAGATATAAGTTACACTTCCAGGAGATAACAATCTCAATTTAGTATGGAGAACATGAATGGAATATGTTTCTCCATACTATTAATATATATGCATCTCACTTTTATTGCTTTTGTTTTATAATTTTTGTGACTGTTTGAAACACAAACTGTTATTAAGTCATTCAAACGTAACAAATACTTAGACAAGTAAACTTATTAACTAAGAATTCAATATGATCTAAATTGAATCTTAGATTGATCTGTCAGATTTGTTTATTGGAAGTAAAACTTTTTATCATCAATGTAAGCGTTAGGCATTTTAATATCCATTGATTTATTTTCTTAACAATGAATGAGTAAGATCAAATTGAGCATCATACTCTTATCCATGACATATCCAAACTTCCACCTACAATTAACTAGGTTCACCTTAATTGATGATCCCTCCTTATTGTCGCCACTTCGCAGACGTCCCCTCAAATTGACTTTCATATTCTAAGAAAATAAATCAAAAGGATTTCTTGTTTTATCTTAATCAAAATTCCACAAATTTGCCTAGTGTTTTGATGTTGATGCGAGAAATGTGTGACACTTTCTATTATATGTAAGGTTCACAACTTTAAACCTGAAGTGTTGAGATCTCTTGGGAGTCAATAGAAATAGTTTTCCATTCGAAAATTATTGATATTCCTCGAAATGTTGCTAAATCAAAATTCAAATACACCATGTGTAATAAAATAGTTAAAGAAAGTTACAAATCTAAAGAGAAGTCATCTGAAACGGTCCAAGGGAAAACTTGTGAAAGCGATGTATAGGGTGATCAAATGGTTAAAAATTATGCGGTGCTCATACAAAATAGAGTTAATATTCATTTTTCTATAACTAGAGAAAGGACCATCATTCTTATGTGAATTTCATTTCCATTAAAAAACTATCTAAAATAGATTACACATTTGCATACACTCAAAAATACAATTTCAGTCATTCGTTGATTGCTAATGATATACATCTCTTCTTATTATTAGAATTACATACAATTACTTAGTATGTATTTATTTTGCTTCTTTCATTCACTTTATTGTCTTTTTTGCATTTCCTTTATAAAAATATGTCAACTAATAACCCCAATAAAACATAACATGAATATCAAAGTGATCATCCGATTTATTTGTTAAATATGTATAACTTAATATCAACAAATTAACACGCCAATGGTATAGTCTAATTAGTTTATGTCAACTTTTCAATAACTTATAAATTAAATCAAGAGGATGTGGATTTTTTGGAAAGGCATTTTTCTGAAGAAGAAATCAAGAGTGCAGTGTGGAATTGTGACGGATCAAAAAGCTCGGGATCTGACAGATATAATTTGTTGTTTATCAAGAATTGCTGGAGTATTCTGAAAGAAGATATTGTCAGGTTCATATAAAGATTTTCATGAATTTGCTTTTCTCCCTAAAGCGATCATTTCATCTTTTTAACCATTATCCTTAAAGTTGATAACCCGTTGAATCTTGGAGAATATAAACCCATCTGCTTGGTAGGGAGCCTTTATAAGATAGTGGCAAAACTATTGGCGGCGAGATTGAAAATGGTTATTGGGAAAACTATTTCTCATACTCAGTTAACGTTTGTGCCTGGGAGGAAATTATTGGATGGAGTGGTCATAGCGAACGAAACTGTGGACAAGGATACTAGAGATAAGAAGGATTGTGTTCTATTTAAAGTCGACTTTGAAAAGGCTTATGATTGCGTAAGATAGAATTTTCTTCGCTTTATGTTAAACAAGATGGGTTTTGGGAGAAGATGACTAAGGTGGATGAAGGTGAATATTTTCAAATGTTATCTTTCGATTTTGGTAAACGGAAGTCCTACGAAAGATTTTGCGGTGGAAAGAGGGTTACGGCAGGGAGATCCTCTACATCTGTTCCTTTTCGTAATTGTGGCAGAAAGGTTAACTGGGATGATGAAAATGACAGTGGAAAGGGGTAAATTCAAAGGATTTAATGTGGGAGAAAGGAATTCTGTGGAATTGATTCACTTTTCCGATGACACTTTAATTATTGGAGAAGGGAGTTAGACAAATCTATGAAATATAAAAGCAATTCTCAGGGGTTTCGAACTAGTTTTGGGGCTGAAGGTGAATTTTATCAAGAGTAAGATAATTGAAGTGAATGTTAGTCCTCACTTTCTTTTAGAAACATCTACCTTCTTAACTTATAGGGTTGAAAAGGCATCCTTCACGTTTCTTGGAGTTCCTATTGGGTTTAATCTAAGAAGAATTCTTGGATGGAAACCAGTTGTTGACAAGTTAAAAATGAAATTGGATTCGTAGAAGGCGAGAATGTTAACTATGGCGGAAAGATTAATTCTTATTAACTCGGTGATGTCTAACTTACCTATTTTTTAGTTCTCCTTATATAGGGCTTCAGTGTCGGTTTTGAAGGCTATAGATAAAATCAGAAGTCGGTTCCTGAGTGGTGGATCAGAGGAGGAAGCGAAAATTCATTGGATTAAATGGGTCTTTGTGTGTTTATCGTAGGATAAGAGAGGTTTAAGAATAAAAAGAATGGAGGAGTGCAATCACGCACTCTTGGCAAAATGGAAACAGAGGATTTTAGACGATAAAAAATCTCTATGGAAGGATACTCTTAAAGCAAGATATGGTTTTATAGAACATCATGTGTTAACCGACAATTCTAGTCAAGGATCTCTTCATCTCACTAGTGGAAAGATATCCCTAAGAGTGGGACTTTTACTACTAACTACGATTTTTGTTTTGCAGATTATGTCCATTTTGATCTTGGAGCTGGGAATTCAATTCCGTTTTGGACAACAAAGTGGCTCAACGGTCATCCTCTAGCTGATTCTTTTGCTGACCTGTGTTGTTGCAGTAGCATAATTGATGCTTCTGTTCAATCTATGGGTTATTGGGATCATGGTGTTTGGACATGGGATAACCTTGGATTGTCTGTTCAGGATCAGTTGGATAAAGAGGAAAGGATTTGTGAGCTTTTCATTGCGTTGAGTGGATCAAGTCTAGTAATGGGAAAGAAAGACGGTGTCTCGTGGAAAGGAGGAAATCTTGTTGGGTTCGAAGTTAAAAAGATATACCAATTGTTACTTGAAGGCAGACCTACGATTGGTGTAAGCGAAATCCAAAGGAAAACTTTTGCTGTATTATGGAAGATCAAGGTGCCGCATAAGGTTATTTGCTTTGGTTGGAAGGTTTTGTGAAATAGAATTGCATTTAAGACGAATCTGGCGAAAAGAGGTTTTAGTGGTTTGAACACTTGTTGTGTTTTCTGCCTAAACACGGATGAAGACATTTCTCACTCATTTTTCGCTTGCTCTCCGATTCAAGCGGTGTGGGAAAGGATGAAGCTTTTTTGCAGGAAAATTTTGTGAGTTTTTTCTTGATTGGTGTGGTTTAGGAACTCAAATCGAAGGAAATTTGAAAGTAGGATCTATTTGGTTAATTATTATTTGGTGTATTTGGAGTATTAGGAACAATATCATTTTTTTCTAATGGGGTATTCAATCTTGATGACTTATGTTGGACTATTAAGATTGTTGCTTGGAATTGGTCTAGAATTGATAAGATTTCCTACCCCAACTCTAAGTTTCAATCTTTTTGTATGAATCTTTTAGAAGAGTAAGGTTGTATTAGAGTTGGTAAGTAATTTTCTAATTTTGTTTAGTCTGTTATTATATTGTTATTGGTGGTTGTAAAGGCTTGAACACTCTTTATGTTCGTTCTTCTTTATATTATTGGCTTTTAGAAAGAAAAAAATATCAATCACACGAACAATCAAAATAATGAAATAATTCAAATAGAAGATGAACAAAACAAAAATTTAAAATTTAAATAAAAATATACCATAAAATAATTTTTAAAAAAACAATCATTTATTTATTCATACCCATATCATCATATATTGGTAGTATTTGGTAGTTACTCATTAAAAAATCATTTATTGGTAGATAGAACTAGAAATCCAGCTTTGAAGATTCCAAACAAGCAATCACATCCTACGTGCCCGTTTTCCATTGGTTCTTCCCCTTCATATTATGCACACATCAATTAAATAATTATATTAAATTGAAAAACATATAAATGTAAACTTTAAATTAAATATATTAAATTAAAACAAATGTTTGATTTAGTAAAATAATTTAATAAGAGAAAGGAGAAAAGTATATTTGAGCTGAGAGTAATTTTGTTATATCAGAAAAAAAAAAACCAAAAATTAGAAAGAAAGAACCGAAGGAATTGAATAGACACAAGTTTCAACAGAAAAGAGGAAAAAAAAACCCAGAAAATTCCGAGGAAGAAAAGTTCGTTGCTTTCTGCTTCACTGCCAAGATGAACGGAGGCCCATCTGGTTTCAGTGCGTTTTCTTCCCTTCCGTCACTTCAATTCTCGATTTTCAGTTCTCTTTTTCACTTTTATTTTGCAATTCTTTTTCGATTTGCATTCAAACTCAAATTCAAATGCTTGTTTATGATTGTGTTTCACAGCAAATGCTCCTGTCACAAGGGCTTTCATCATCGCCTCAGCGCTTTTCTCAATCTTCTTTGGGATCCAGGGTCGTTTCAACACTTTGGGGTTGTCGTATCAGGTGCTGCCGATTTGAATTTTTTCCGAATTTTTTTCATTTAATTAGGTTAACTGTATTAGTTTTCAGTTGTATGTGCCAGTTATTTTCTGTCTGATATTCTTGTAGGTTAGGGATGGATTTTTATTTATAAATTTCACCCTGATATTTTTTATTTATTTTAAGCTATAAAACACGGATAAATTAAAGTAATCACAAGTGTCGGGATCAGTTTCGCACACTGATATAGACATACCTTTTTTTGGAGGTGTTGGTGCTAAAAGGATTTTAAGTAGTATGGAATGATATATCAAATTGTGATTATGCACGCAGACATAGACACACCTTTTTTTTTTTCTAGAGCAAGTATTATTATAATTAAAAACAATAGAAACACCGACATATTTCACTCAAACCTGAACGCATTATGCGTTTATTATGTAGATTTTAGTCACGTTTTTCTTGTTGTTGCAGGATATTTTTGGAAAGCTTCGCATTTGGAAGTTGATTATGTCGTTATTTTCCTTCACATCAACACCGGAGTTGATGTTTGGACTATATCTTCTATATTACTTCAGGGTATTTGAGAGACAAATCGGTTCCAATAAATACTCAGTAAGTAACTTGTTAGTTTATATTTAAGATTTGATTGCAATCTCAATGTATATTTTCAGAACCAAGTTCTAGCTGTTGTGATGCACCTTTCATGTTTCTAACTACTATTCTGAATGTAACTTGTATGGGGTTTTGAAATCTCTTACGCACCCTTTATGCAGGTGTTTATTGTGTTCTCTGTGTTGGCTTCACTACTGTTTGAGGTTTTTGCTGTAGCATTTTTAAAAGGTATTCTTCTCCGTACTGGTCTTTATAATGCCGTTCACCTCTTAACTTTGATTGATCTTTTTTATTGCATGCTATTTTATTGTGTTCTATTTTAGTCCATACATACATTTAGTTGTACATATCATTTATGTTCTGTTAGTGTCGCGAGTTTTCTTGGTATCATCTGAATATATTTTCTTTATGTCTTTTTTGTTTTGTTTTTGCATTTGACGAGCCTTTTCAAATGCCAATTTAGCGAGGAACCCATATGGTAGGGTAAATGGTTATATGTTTATGAGGAACTTCCCTTTAATGAAATGTTAATATCGATACAACAAACTTTTAAAGAGGGAAAAATTTTGGTCACAAAACAAGATATCAAAGAAAGGGTGAAGGGTTAGTTGTTAGTTGGAGGCCATAGGATTTTATTGCACTTAGATAGGCTATTCACTAAAAAGGAGGGCTAAAATTACACCTTCTATTCTAGGATTCAGGAGTCTGGGGTAAGTGAAGCATCAAAGAGAATAGACAGTTGCTAGGTAGGTGGACTAGATATTTTATTTATACCTGAGACATAGATTGGACGACGAGAGGACTGTATACGATTACTCACATCTAATAGCTGTTTAATGAAATCGATGTCTACGATGATTTATGATGAGCAAGGCAGAAATACTTTAACCCATATCTTTATGAACTTGACTTCCAAACTATGCAAATTATAAGGAATTTATCTCATGATCTGTATTATAGTGTTGTGTAAAAGGGTAATTAGTAGAGATTATGACAAGATACACTACAGAATCTTAATTTGATTTTATACAGAGGAGGTTCACCACAAGAACAATTTACTTATCGTGAAGAGTGATAGAGATATTGGACAAATAAAAAAGACCTATCTGACATGGGTCAGGCCCTATTTTATTTATTTTTTATTTTTAATAAGCATACAGTAAGTTGTTATTAGGGATAAAGAAGCCCAGGAACTGTTAAGAATGTATTACAGAAAGAAAGGGAAGGGGATTGAATCCTTTAATACATAAAATACTGAGTGCAAATAGGCAGAAGAAGTTATGATAGGATTTGTTTTGTTGAAATTGTAATAACTGTACTATTTCATTGGAGAGTAAATAGAATTTTTAATCTTTTCTTCTTTTTCCTCATTTCTGTACTATATCCTCGCTCTTTTTCTACCAAGAGAAGTATTAAGGAAGACTCAAAAACAAAACTGAATGCTAGCCAGTACAAAGCTTATTTTGAAGATGCAAATGTTATGATGGATGAGTGTACAAACAAGACAGCAGGATCCAGTGGGAAAGTACATCTGTTTATTTATTGTTGTATTCTAATAGTTCCTTGACATGGGGCTGCAGCCTGTTTGACCAAAGGCCGAGATTTTTGTTTTTTGTAGCTCCAGTTCTTCTCTGTTAAATTGAATTCAGGCACATTGTGCAGTGGATACATACCTTATGTATCCTTTATGCCAAAAGTCTTTCACATGATGAAATTTTTGGAGATAAAACAACTCTTAGGCATACTCCCGACTAACATTTTTAGCCTGCCGCATCTCCATTTATCGCAAGGGTTAACATTATTCATCAGACTTTGAAGTCAGAAATGATGTGACAATTGACAATATTTAAATACCAAATCAGTGTTGTTGAATAGCGGCTTTATCGCTATAGCGGAATTTGAACAAATTGCTATTGTTCCGCGGTAAGCTATTTAGTACAAAATATTGTAATATAGCGGTTATAGTGGTGCTATAGCATTGTTCAGTAGTGGAGTTTGAACAAACCACAATATTCTGCGATCCGCAATTGGCAACTTTGTACTAAATCATCTTCATCTAGAAAGTAGATCTTTTGAATATCTTAGAAAGTGTGGGTTGAGTCTAACTCATCCCTACAAAAATGGCTTGTAAGGGGAGAATTGCCACCACTTATAAACACAACACATGCCATATCTCTAAGCAATTTGAGACTAAATCCCACTCCTTCAAACCCAACACAATGCCACAATTTAGGTGACTAGGGGTGGATCGCAATGAAGGTGGAAATTCCAATAGAATGTATGAAAGGTTATTGTTTCGTGATGATACAAGTACTATAAACTTAAGCTTCAAATTTTCCCAGCCCCGTCTTACCTTCAATCTTTAAGTGCAAGCTTGTTTTTGTATTTGAATCCAAACAACTTATGATGAAATCATTCCATCAAGTTTGAATGGTATATGAATGACCTGCCTTATTATACAGTGCCAAATAGCCCATGCATATTATGTAAAAATTTGATGGAATAGTTTACGGTGTAACCTGGGGATACTGATTTTTATTTTTATTTTAAAATTTGATAAAGCAATTTGTTGCTCCATATTTTATATTGAAGTCAGATTCGTGGCTTTCTGGACCTTGATATTTTAAGTTATGACCATTTGTTATTTTTAATGCAGTAATGTTTTATTCTTATTTTGAATGTCTTACGTTCACTCTTTGCAGATCCTTCAGCAACCCCAGTCACTCCTGGACCTTATGGCCTTATATTTGCTTCGTTTGTACCCTTTTTCTTTGACATTCCCGTTTCGACACGGTTCCGTTTATTTGGTTTCCACTTCTCAGATAAGTCATTCATATATCTAGCTGGTCTTCAGGTTAGTAGAACTTATTTATGGGTGCATATATAATTCAGGCATGTCTAGAACCATTCAACTCATAAAAACTAATTTTATTGCAGCTTCTACTGTCATCATGGAAAAGGTCCATCTTACCAGGGGTGTGTGGCATCCTTGCTGGTTCCTTATACCGTTTGAATGTCTTTTATATCCGCAAAGCAAAGGTAATTTTATATTTGGTGTTTGAGGTTTAGTCATCTTCGTTTTTAGCAACTATGTTTTTATGGACACAAGCTTTCCCAAAGGAATATTCATATATGAATGTATAGTCAAAATTTGTTGACAAGCGTAAATTGAAATCAATCTTACGCCAGTTAATATCAACTTAAAGGATGAATATTTTATAAACATTACTGATGGGTTGGAAGCCTTGATCGCTCATATCAAGCTTCTATATTTTGTTTTCATTCAAGATAATTATGTATTCCACTCATTTGTTGATATATGCTTCAAAATTTAGATTAAAATGAAATATTTCACATTGAAGTCCGTGGCAACTATTTGATGCCACACTTAAGGTTGTTAGAACTAAAATAGTTTGGTAAGATCTACTTATCAATTACTTGTAATTTACTGGTCAAATTGATTCAAGTCAATTTCCTATATCAAGTTTTATACATATATTCATACTTAAACAATATCAACATATTAATAATGCAAATGCAATAGATGAATAGATTCATTTAAGCTACCTTATGTATGGAGTTACACATATCATGCATCTTAAATGCTAATTGAAAACTATTTGATCATATAATAGTAGTTGTTGAACTTTTTAAAGTCTAACATGCAAAACTCAAAATAAGAGTTACCCCAGTGACTTTATAATCAGTTCCGTTGAACATTGTTTCTTATAGGTAAAACCAAATTTAAAATCTTTGAGGGTAATGCTAACTTGTGCCCTTGGGCACAATTTAAGAGATAAATATAAGAAAAATTTATTGGAAATTGTGTATTGAATTTAATACAAGTTTATAATTAATGGTTATATTGTTTTTTTCAATAAGAATTTTCTATTTTTGGATTTTTTTTAATGTGCCCCAAGGGCACAAGTTAGCATTACCCAATCTTTGATATCAGTGGAGTATTTTCATGAAGCAGGGATGGTGGCACCATGGCACTATCCTAGTGGATTTTAATTGAAAACTATAGCATAGTGGATTTTGATGAATCCACTGTGAAAACTGTGCCACTATGACACTATCCTAGTTTTTCTATTAGGGCAACCGCTGTTCCAGTTTCTGCTAGCTGATGTAGCGGCAATAGTAAGAAAAGGAGATATGACCTAGTTTTTAAATAGAAAACTGAAGAGTCAAAGAGCACAAGAAAAGGAGATAAGACCTATTTTTTTAAATAGAAAAACTGAAGAGTCAATGACCACGGCTCATATGTTCACTGTTATATGTAAATCTATCAAAATGTAAGTTATGCTCTGCCTCCATTCCCTTCATTATTTGAGCCCGAAATGCTATATGCTATTTCACATGGCAAATTTTTGGTTCTGCTATTTCTTGCAATCCGTTTTTGATAACATCAGTAGATGCTGAGTTTCCTTCTTATGAGTGCATTAGTTGATTGCCTGCCTCTAAAACCCACTTGACAATTAATTCTCGCAATGCATTTTTTAATTGCACAAATCCATCTTCATTCTTCATCGACACTATATAGATTTAAGACTAGGTGCTTGCTTCGCTTTTAGCTGTAAAATCGAATGCAAGCTGGGGAATCATGTTCTTATGTGAAATATGGTTATAATAATTACAATTGCGTCTAGCTATCAATAGGACTCACTCTGTTCTTCCTACTTGTCTACATGCAAGTCTGCTATGTTGTCTATTTACGTTCTTTATATTACCTTCAATAATCTATTATAATTATGAAATTTAATAATCATGGAAGAAGTCAGTATTTTTGATGTTTGAACTGATGTTATTTTCATTTTCTAGTTTGCTCTACTTTGCCCTGTACATATTTAAACAACTATGCAGCGTGGATTATTAATTTCAAGTGATTACTGGAAGTTTTTGTCATTACTTTTGTGTGCTTATATGATCTTACATTACAGTTCCCGGAGTTCATTTCATCATTTTTTTCACGAATATCCTTGCCATCTATGGGGACTCCACGCACAACACCAACGAGGAATGTTTTGGGCAATGTACCATCCTACCCAGCTCACCAAATGGAGGCAAGTTTTACTTCATCCTTATAACTTTTTTTATATGGTTTGATTCGCCTATCATTGTTGACTCACAAAACTTGCCTAAGATAGACGTGGCTCGACTTGACTCGATCCACATTCACCTCTACAACCAGAGTAACATAATAAGCTTCCATGTAATATTAATAGGGATTCTTTTTGCAGAGAAACTATCCTGCTCCAATGCATTCTGCAGTAGAACCATCGGAGGACTCAATTGCGACCCTTGTTTCAATGGGATTTGACAGGAATTCAGCAAGACAAGCCTTAGTGCAGGCGAGAAATGATGTGAATGTGGCGACAAACATCCTACTGGAAGCACAGGCTCACTAATTGCATCAACAAAAGATGGATTGTTCTGGACTGATAGATGGAAGGCCATTCCACAACAAGTATTGGAAATTTACTAATTTTCATGGGAGGATCGAGGCATTCATCTTATCATCTTCCTCAGATATTCCACCTTCTATTGAGGATCATTTTTCCTACCTTAACTTTGATCTTTAGATATATCCATTTTAGTACTGGTGTTAATAGATCATTGAGAATTAGGAGCCTGTACAAATTACTCGAAACATATGGAGAACATGCGTATAATTCTACTAGAGATATTGTTCTATGCAGTTTGTTTTAACTCTTAAGCAAACAAAGCCGTGGACAATGTCACTGATGTGTTCTGCTTACTTTCTATTTGAGTTTTCATCTATTATCACTCAGTCATTTCACGCACTAAATAAATAAATCTAAATCAACATTTGCGAAGGGAAAGGTGAGCTAGTTTTTTATTTATTTTATATAATAATAAATAAAAATAACTTTTCATTTGATGTGGTAAAATTTGGGGGTGGCTGGTTAAATTTTCGTGAAAATTTTAGCAGTAAATTATTTGGGTTGGCTATTAATAAAACTTGGGATTGCTCTCTAGACCCCATGGGTGCTCCACCACCACCGTCCACCGTGAAAAAGCTAAAACAATCTCTATTGCCGATGCACCTTTTTTTACAAACTATTCAGCAAAAATAAATGACTCACTTTTATTTTGTCAAAATTTAATTTGGAGATGTATCTTCGTATACAATAATAAAGGTGAATTTAGAGATGTATTTTCATAAACATCATTAATTCAAAATATAGTGGGTGATATAAAGATACGTTTTCAGATGCGTTTACATTAACTTGTGTTAGACTCTTCCTTCTTCCTCATTCATTTATACTCATTCAAAAAACACCATTATTTTATTTTTTTTCAAACCTTATTTGAGCAAGTCTCACCAAGTTCACTCACTCCATTCTACTTCATTTGTTGTAAAGTCACTTACTCCATTTAAGATTCTCAATCAGAACTCTATTTTGTTAAGTTTATCATTTCATTCTTTTTTTAATTGATGTTTTAGGTAACATATGTTGTTTAAGTTGAATTAGATAGTATTAAAAACAAAATAGGTAGTTGATAAAGACATTTATGTTGAGGTTGGGGTAACAATGGGGTTTATGCCATTGCTGAAAATCACAAGTTCATCCGGAGATGCATCTCCATATTTTCTTTGTGTTGTTTTTGAAAATGTATCTCTGGATTTGTGTTTGACGGCATTTTGGTTGAATTTTTGATGTGATTTTTTGGCTTTATTACGTGCAATGACTGGAAATAATCCGTACAAAATTAGGCTTGATTGTGTGTCCCAACACGCGTCTGTACAACGTGAGAGGGCTAGAGGCAGGGCCATGAGGCCACGAGTTGATGATACCTCGTTTGGTGGCTCACAAGATTGAGTTTCACAACCATTTAGTTTTACTTCCTGTAGTCGCCAGTCTCAATCGTCTACTTTATGAGGTCATACGTCCCTAGCTCATGAAGCCCTGAAACCCAGAAGGAACACATTGTTGACACTCCTGTAGATAGTTATCTAGGTGGCCTATTTGGCACCTTCTTACTTCATCTCTATGGAGACCATGCTCCTAAGCATGTCTTGGAAGTAGAGGTATATTTATTTAGCTTTGCGTTATATCTGTTTTAAACTAACTAATCGCAATTGATGGAGGTATTACTTTTTTTATAGGAGTGTCCATGTTTAAAGTCAGTAAGCCACGAAAGAAAGATATTGAATTTGGAATAGCCAGACACTGACTAGTTCAAGAATGTTCATCGTAGAGATCTTGATGTGATACTTGAGGATTTCGAGAATCATTTGATACTAGAGGAGTATCGTTGGGTGCCATCTTCTATACACTGGGCTTTTGGAGACGACTGCATGACATGGTCCTATAGGGTGTCACACTCTATCATAACACCATACGTTCTTGGAAGACCACCTAGGCCATCTAATCAAGAGGTACTTGAGGTTATGGATGACCACACCCAGAACGTAGGTAATGTCTGTCAGTGTATTATGGATATGGCGAGATCAGACATAGAGACAAAACTATTTTAGGAAGGCAGTTCTCAGTTGTCCCTCGTAAAAGGCATCATTGTTGAGACATGGAATGCCTTGCAGTAACAGATGGAGTATCATTTAAGAGAATACATTTATTAATCAAGTAAGTGGTGTGCTTCTTTGTTGTGTTAGAAGATTGTAGGATAGGTATTGGTGTAAGGCTTGTATAGAAATCTAACATATTGTAAAATCTCTCACGGGGTGTGAAAAAACTAGATTTACTCTTGATTGGAAATAAGACCAGTATACATCACTGTGTTCTTTATTTTTCTGCATTTAAATTATGAACTTTACTTCATTAGTTCATCAACATATTTTCAGAAAAATAAGAACATAAGAACATCTCTAAAATAACCAAAAAAAGTCTCAAAATCTAATTCACCCCCTTCTTAAATCGATTTCGTATACTTAAACCTGGATGATTGTCTGATGGTCATATGAAGCAATGTATTAGCTCAATGTAACGTGGTCACCAAAGCAACAATGATAAACACCATTTACAATATTTAACGGGCTTGAAATCAGACCAGATTTCAATGCGTTATAATTCAATGGAGGTCATTGTATGCTTCCATCCTTTGTTTAACAACTCTTGCAGGAAATCATACCACTTGTTGTGCAAGTTATTCCATACATGACTTTGTAGTGCTTAAAAACTTTAAGGTCCAAGTTCATCAACCTTAAACTCTTGTTATCAGAAAAGTTTTGTGGTGCCCAACTCAACAGGGATGGATTAAAGTCAATACAAAAGGCGCTTCGGGGGGCACTCCTTTATTAGCAACTTGCATCTTGACAACATTGCTTGTAAACTTGGGCAGGAAAGTTCCTTATATGTTGAGCTCATGGGGTCCATTTTGGCTATGGAGTACGCTTTCAATCAAAATTGTTCTAATTTGTAGTTGGAGACTGATTTTATCTTAGTTATTAAAGCTTACAGTAATCAATATATTATATCTTGGAAGCTAAGGAATAGATGGGATAATTGTATCCTTTAGATGAGAAATTTTAAAATTTTGACACACATATTTACAAGGAAAAGAATCTTGTGTAGATAAAGTAGCTAATTTAGGCTTAAGGGTTACTAACTTTACTTGGTGGGACGATATTCATATCGATGTAACTTTGGACTTTCATAGAAACTAATGTTAATACCTTTTTCACCTCCTGCCATTTAGGCCATTTCCAATAAAAAAAACCTGTAAAAAAGGTTTAGATTTCCCCTGCCTTTTGAAAATTCCCTCAATTTATCCCCTAATTAGGCCAACTCATAAAAAATGCTTATGTAGCACTGAATTTTTTTAATTCATATTCCATGCGTGTAAGTGACCCAACGAAATGACAATAATACCCCTAGTTTTAATTTAAAAAAGAAAATTGAAATTGGGATTCCAGAAACCCTAAAGTGTGAAATCTCTCCATCATGTGTTTTTCTCCATCGTAACCTCTTCACCTCCTTCCATTTTATTCACCGTTCTTATTTTTTGGTTCGTATTCATATTTAGTTTTTGTGTTCATCATCTTCAGTCGTTCTTTTTTGTTATCTCTATCCTTCGTTTTTAGCAATAGAGGTATGAATATCTCTGAAAGTTCCAAGTCCACAATTTCTTCGAATGGAAGAGTAACTCTGAAATGTGGACATAATGTTTCAATGAAGATGTTTGTTTCTAACTCCAATGCAAATCCAGGGAGAAAATACTGAAAATGCAAGTATTGGGATAAAGAAGGTAGCTGTGAGTTATTCCATTGGGATGATGAACTCTTTGGTCAAGGTGAAAGAGAAATATCTGGAAATGAACGAGATATGCTACATTTGTTGAGGAATTTTGGGAAGGATCTTGGGTAAGAGTTTGGGAAATAGATTGGAACTCACCTTTGCTTAAAAGAGATGGAAGCAATGAAGAAAAATATTGATATGGTAAGGAAGAAGATGAACTATGTCATAGTAGTGATGATATGGTGTGCTTAATTAGTTGTCATCAAAATACAAACCACGTCATAATAAGTACATTACATAAATATAATAGAAAACACACTACTGAGTCATTTGTTGAGTAATTTCACCCCATGACTTCATTTTCTTCACACAAATACCCAATTTGGGCTCTTCATTGCTAGGTCCATTAAAGTCATCAACTTCCAATGGTGCAACTAAATTTGGTCCTGAGCCAACATTGTTTTTAGACCTTAAAACACTTTTCAACCTATCACTACACCTCTTATGTGCTTGAGGAACCTTTTTCTTAACTGCTTTCTTCTTTGGAGATTTCTTTCTTCTTGTCATCAGAGTTGTTCAGTTCAGATTGTGTTATGTCAGTTTGAGATGCAGGCACAGGTTGTGTAGGATTGCACACTTAAATGCAGGCTCTTGGTCACACTTGGTGCATCTGTAAACTACATGCCTCCTCATTCTTGACCCTGTTTCATCATGCTCTCTAAACCTCAATTTCTTAGGCCTATCTGGACCCTTTTTATACTGAGGTGGCAACATGTCTTCCCCATTCACATTTGGCCACATGTTCATACCATTGAATGGACTTACATTGTTTTCAAAACAGAGTTTATAAGCCTCCATCATATAACATGAATCCACATATAATTCACATTCCACATCTTGAGTTCCACAATCATTTGAATTCCTCTGTGAGCTAGAACCAAGAATCCCTGAAGGAACAAATATATTCATTTGTGATGGGTTTTCCTCTTCTTTGGATTTTTGGAACCCTTAACCTTAACTTGAGTGACTTACCATTTACATCAACCCCAGTACCATGACTTGGTCTTTCCACTACAATTTGACAAATTCTTCATTTCTTTCACAAGTTCTTTCTTCTTCACTATCATCAAAACTTTATGCCTCTAACATCCTCCTCACTGCTAACATCATTACTACCTTCACTTAATTGATCCACATCAAGCCTTAACACCTTGCTTAGCATGTGCTCTACACCATGTTCAACCCATATATGACCATCAACTTTATTACCAAGGTTGTGATCAAGGATCTCTTCAGCTTGTACATCATCAATGAGATGAGTAAATTCTTCACCAAGTCCTGGTATCTTCCTCCAATGTCTAAATCCTTCGTAACCCAACTCTTTGACTAAGCTAACAGCCTAAAAAAAACTCCACTCATCAGGGTCTTGCTCTTCAACAATGGTTATCATACATAAAGTTTTCCCATGGTGAAATATCACACTGAATAACCCTATTTCTGCACAACAAAACAAATTTTACATAGGGTGAAAACCTAACTTTGACAAGTGAAAATGTGACCACATAATACTGCCACTTTGTATTGGGACCATTGAAAAAAAGGAGAAAGAAGTAACATTTGTACCTTTTGGATACCAATAAAGCTTGTCCCTTTGCGCATCAGAAAACGACGTAATACTGTAGTTGTAAGTGAAAATTTGAACGAAAGCGTGATATTACATCAATCTATTTTACTGCAACACCGTTAGCCGAAGAACAAGGTAATGAGATTCCATGGAAGCTGAAAAAAGATGAAGATTTTGGTTTTAGGGTTTTTGAAAATTCCAATTTCAATTTTCATTTTTATATTACAACTGGGAGTATTATTGTCATGTCCATGGGTCACTTACACACGTGGAATATAAATAAAATGGATAATAAAAAAATGCAGTGTCACATAAGCATTTCTGATGAGTTACCCAGATTAGGGGGCAAATTAAGAAAATCTTTAAATGGTATGCTCGGATCTAAATTTTTTTACAGGAGAATTTTTCGAATATGTCACAAATGACAGGTGTGAAAAGTTTATTAACCCTAAAAACAAACTAGATCTACCTAATTTTAGAATTAGATAAGTTTTGAAATTTTGACAAAATATTTCTCTCATTTTCTTTTTCCTATTTTTTATTTATTTATTGGGTTATATCCTTTTTTTATTAAAAAAAAATACACAATTGCTTATAAAAAAACACATTTTCTTATAAATATTATCAAAGTAGAATATATATATATATATATATATATATATATATATATATATATATATATATATATATATATATATGATTAAATATTTTAGGGTCTGTTAGTTTTAATTTTATAAAACAGATTGTTTTAATAATTTATAAAATATTAAAAGTTTTTGAAAATTTATTTTTTTTTAAATTAAAAGATTAATTTAAACATTTTATAACATAAACATACCATTAAAATATAGTTAAAATTAGAATTTTTTTAAAAAATATATGTAATTTAAAAATAATTAAAAATAATTTTATAAAAAACTATTTGAAATAACTTTGATAATTTTTAGAAATTTTAATATTAAAAAAATTATAATAAGATAATAAAATATCTAAAATAAATATTAAAACCAATTTTTTATTTAAAACTTTTACTAAAATAACTTTTATAAAATTTTTAAAATAAAAATATAATTTATAATTTTTTTAAAATTATTTTTAAAAAATTGAAACGTAGCCTTATTCTCGATGATAATATAATTTATGTAAAATATGTCATGCAGTCCTTTAAACTTAAATAATTTTATTAAGTCGGTACTTTAAGATACTTTTAAAATACATATCGACTCATTACGTATCTCATATGATACACATTGATCTTCACTTTTGAATATTTCAATTTCATACTTCCTCCGTTCTCTTTATAAACAACTTTTACTTTTTAAATTCATTAAATAATTTGACTACTCCTGCACAATAGAAAGGTAAAGTTTATATTCTGGGTATCAAACAATATAGATAGGATAATATCTTCTCAAACTCCACTATCTCATTATTGTTGACCATATCAGGATATCTCTTCAAAGCCACCAAATAAGATAGATATTAATTTCATCTTGTAACCAGTATCTTCCAATTAAAGACAAACTTTGAAGATAAAAAGCATAAAATATAATAACCAGCTACATGGACAGAACACTGTTCTTTCATAGAGAAAAAATAATAAAAACACCATCTTTACTGGCAGGTAAATCATCGGAAAACCAGCACTAACATTAGAAACCCGACTCATATCTCACCTCACCATATACTAGAAATGCATAATCCCTAATCTTCAATTATAGATCTTAAAAGTCATTTTGGAAGAAGCAAAAAAGGTGCAAGATTACAATCCTCTCTAATACCATAACTGCATCTGTTTAGCCTTGAACCTTGAGCAGTTCTGAGGAACAAGACTTTGATCATTCATTCCGTAACTTCATTTGCAGTAGATTGGGAAACTTGAGCAGAAAGCAAGTCGAGGAAAAAATAGTGGCATCCCTTGTTAAGGAAGGAGTATATATGCATAAAAGTGGTGCAACAAAAGTTACACAGGGCTTATATCTACCCGGCTTTGGTGAAGTTGGAAAGCTGGGGTTATCCAGCTTCCACAGCTGCATTGTATGCCTGACCAATTGAAGTATCCCAAGCGGGCATCACAATGAGCACAGCACAGCTTTCCCTCCATCGCGCCTTCCTCAACTGAATGAAAAGAGATATCAGTAAAATACAAAAATCACCATTTTTAAGCATATTTATGCGCACGGTTCAAATTTATACTCCATGAAAAATTGGTAATATATACACTTCAAAATATTATAAATTATGACTCTTATTGTTTTGTACAAAATAATGAGAGCATTCTGGACAAATGAGAAATGGAAATTCAAATTCAATGCTTGTTGAAAATAGACACATTTTGATATTGTAGTTGAGTGTTTTCTTACCATCTTTCATCCACCGTAGAGGCTCAATAAATATGGACGAACACTCAGATTCATTCGACTTGTTAAAAGGATTGCCACCTCTCCTTTTGTGCCAACCAAAGGATGCCTCACCCTCACCAGGAGTATGATCTACAACATGTTCTTGCAATGCAACAATCCGACGGCACTTCTTACAACGGTATGTAGGGCTACGGTTATTATCTACTTTAGTAGCTTCTTTTGGCTCTGAAGATGTTTCAACAAGCATGCCAGGATCTGCACCAAGTTTAGAACTGTCTATCCTTGACCCTGCGAAATGATTCTCACCTGAAAAAACGAGAGAAATATTTCTTTACACAGACGACATAAACTACTAGCTGACGTTCTTTTCAATGGCCATGGTAGAAAAAATCATCACATTGACGCAGATTATGCATAATACTAGAACAGCTATTAGTAGAAACAAGTTAGCTATTAAGTTGGATATACAACCACCAGGGTAAGGAGTTTGATCCATACACACATAGGGATGCCGAAATCTATTGCAACAAATTAGACACTACCATACATCATAGATTTCCCATAACCCCAGCTTTCTCCCATCCCTCAACCAGCACAGAACAAACCTGGGAAAGAAACAACATGAAGATTGAACAGTTGTTTTATTTTGAGATTGGATTATTAAGATAGACTGATTTAATTTGATACTCCCACCATCTCATATTAAATGTCCGCTTTAGAGTAGTAATGTCTCAAATTATTTATCATTTTAAAATATAAGGAAATGTTAATCACTTGTTTTCAATAATACCCTTATTTATTTGTATCTCAGCAAAACCTACATTAATTAATTTTTTATCAAGCTTCTTAAATGGCTACTATTAATAAAGGTTTATTTGTCAAGGAAGATTATTTTATAACTTGATCATTTATTAAGACTTGTTTGGGAGTTAGGAGGGAAAGGAAGAAGGGGAAGGCTTTGGAGGGTATAGGAGGAATGGAAAGATAGAGGAATCCATCACCTCTTTTTGGGAGTGATTTTGAAGGGATTGAGATGAAAATACTTACAGTAGTTTGTTTTCATATGCTATAAAGAGAAGTAATGATTTTGAAAATTTATTCAAAATCTATGAAAGCTCTTCCCAAATGCATTTTTTAAGTTTCTCCATATTGGAGGGCTCTAGTCTATTGAAAAACAAAAATCTTATTCAAAGTGGGGAAACTAGTCACCCTTCTCCTTCCAATTACTCATTCTTTAATCCTCAAAACCCTCCCCTCCATTTTCCTCCAAACTCCCAAGCATAGCCTCAAAACCTTTTTTGAGGAGTGTTTTTGAAGGGATTGAGATGAAAATACTTACGGTAATTTGTTTTCATATGCTATAAAGAAAACTAATGATTTTGAAAATTTATTCAAAATCTTCCAAAGCTCTTCCCAAATGCACTTTTTAAGTTTCTCCATATTGGAGGACTTTAGTCTATTGAAAAACAAAACTCTTATTCAAAGTGGGGAAACTAGTTACCCTTCTCCTTTCCATTACTCATTCTTTAATCCTCAAAACCCTCCCCTCCATTTTCCTCCAAACTCCCAAGCATAGCCTCAAAACCTCAAAAGTATGCAAATCTTAAACAACGCATAATATGAAACAAAGGGAGTATACTAAAACACAGGACATACCAATGTACAATTTTTTCTTTTGAGTAAATAACCCCACCTATTTTTCACTACCACTATATCTTCTTTGTGTACAGATCATTGATTTCAATCACAAATCAGGAAAATTGCAGGGGTTTTTTCATAACTACGCCATGCTACAGTGCTATAAGGCCGCTATAGCTACTATTAATCAACATAGTGTACTAAATAGAGTATTGTCAAACACTAACAATTTCATTAAATTTCCACTATGTTGTAGCCACTATTTGACAACACTGGAACAAATTTGGGAAGGGAAAACAACAAGATTTGAGATCAAACGGCTCAGACTTCAAACACACTACCATGCAGTAAAACGATCTCAGCCGCAGACATGAGATCAGACAGCTTAGATCTGTTATTAATGGACAGTCTCTCTTGATTTATTAATTAAAAGAATGAACATGGTGTCTCTAAAAAGGAGAATAAAACAGTGATAAAGTTGACATATAAAAACATAGGAAGAGTGAACACTAGTTCTTTTCAATCCAGTGATGCCACATGACAAAAAAGTAAAAGGTGTATGTGTATCATACACCACCACAAAATAATACAAGGAATCACTTAGAGCCACCTAAATTTTTTATAGTTAGTGTTAATGAATAAATATTATCTCTATTATCAACTTACAATAAGTATATGAGCATGAGGTCCCACAACAAAAAAAAAATCATTGAGCTGAAGTCATACATACCTAGTACTTTTAGACGAAAACGCTTGTATATAGGGCTAGACTGATCAACCTTGAAACCCATCTCCTCAAACATTTTCAACTAAGGCAATAAAATACATAAAGAATGTCAAAATCCTCACTGTAAAGTAGTATAAACAACATTTTCAGAATACAGAGTGACCTTAATAACACAAACCTGCTCTAGAAAACCATCATTGGGGCAAACAAATTCACAGCTCTGCTTTAACGATTCAAGTGCATCTGCAGCAAATAAAAACACAGAAAAATAAACACTCAAGTTCAAGATGCAGAGAGAGATGTCAAATTTACTTTTCTTAGAATTATACAAGGTCTTGACCTGAGTTAATTTGAAAAGATACTAATCATGAATAATATTAGGCACTTTCAGACTATGAAACACCAACATCAGAAACACGACACCAACATTAACACATGTAATCATTTGAAAAAATATAAATAAATTAAATGTAATTACAAATATCGGTGTCGGTTTCGGCTACATACATGCCTTTTTTCCAAAGGTGTCAGTGCTACAGATCTTCTAGAACATCCATTCATGATTGTATGGTAAAGTAAACTAAAAATCTTCTAAAAACAAAAAGAAAGCCACTACCAAAAGAGAAGTCCGTGAAGACTTTAAACAAACAATTGGTTTCATTTCACACCTTCTAGTGACAGATTCTCGCTTCTCATCAAATACGCAGTAATAACCGATGCACTGCATATAAAAAACACAACTAAAACCCTCAAGATTACACAGAAACACGCAAAATCAATCAAAATCGATACACAATAATTTCAGTATAAGCAACAAAATTGAAATTGGAATTGAAAAGTGTGAGAGTGATGATTGAAACCTTCTAGAAACACCTGCAAAACAGTGAACCAAAACTGCACCTTCCTTCCTACTCCGATCAATGAAATCGATGCAAACTTCAAGGTAATCCAACAAATTCTCGCTCTCTGTATCCTTAAGAGGAACCGCCATCCTCACGAGGTTGAGGTCCTTACCGGCGTACTCGAGTGAGTAGAGGAGTTTGTCCGGCGAGAGAGCGGACTTAGCGGCGGAAGGGAGGTCGGAGACGTGAAGTTTGGAAATCTCTTTGACGGGGATGGAGATAGTGGAACGCCATTCGGAGAAGAAGGAGATGGAAGCGGAGCTGAGAACGGAGAGGATGTGGGTGATTTTGTGTTGAACGGCGGCGTTTTGGAGAATCTGTGCAGCGTCGTTGATGTTGCTGATGAAGAGATTCTCGCGAACTAGGTAAGGCATCACAACGGGAATTGGATTTAATTTCGGGAAAATGTGAATGTAATGGAATTACATAAGCTTCTTCTTACTCCACGTCTTTCTTTGGGTGATGCTTAGACCAACATATATATTTTCGATTTGAAAGTAAATAAATATAAATAAACTATTTTAGGTTTTTTTTTTCAATAGGATTCACTTTGATTTTAACACTTGTAAAGTTTAATTTAATAAAATATATTTTCACACACTCCACACAAATGTCATGTTTAATAAAATTTTAATGGGTGATTAATTACATGTGAATCTAAGTGCTTTTAGGTATATTTTGAGTGATCAAACATTTAGAATGATTTTGATTATAACAATATTATTAAATAATGATTAAGACGTTCTATTAAGATGTTTATGTGAGATCAAGAGATAAATACAAATTTATAAGAAAAACACCTAAGGTCAAGTGGTGTTTAGTTAAATCATTGATAATCTCTTGCTCAATAATCTCTAATAAAGACATCTATCAAATAAGTTATATTAAATCTCATCAATTAGAAGAATAAAGTCGCAGATGAAGTTTTGAATCAATGTTGAATAAATTAAGAAATCTTAAAGTTTTAAAGATTGTAAAAGAGAAGAAATCTGAAAACTTGTTTGATGGTTTGTAGTTGAGTGATTTGTGAATGGTAAATGTATAACACTAATTCTTAAAATACTAAGGCTACTCACCCACACATACTTAAAAATAATTTTAAACCTCTCTCTTTTTTTAAAACACTTTAAAACTTATAAAGGAACCATCAAGGTGCATATGAGATTGACCAAGTGTATTTCCAATCATTTAAGAACCATTTGTATTATTCATAATCGATTAGAGACTTATTCTCATTAATTAGAGCAATATTGTTAATCGATTAAGACACATGACCGTTGTAGGATTTTCTTTTTGGAATTAGGGTTGTCGTCATTTTGAACCACTTAATCGATTAACTTTATTACTTAATCGATTAAGTCATTAAAAGACAAATGAGTCTTTTTCCTTTTTGAGCCAAACTTTTCTCTTATAAATAAAGGGACTCTCCTCATTTTAAAATACACCAAAAAATGTATTTCAATCACACTTTCTCACTTTCTATTATCTCTACTTCATTTGTTTCTTTTTCTTTATGAAATTGTCTTACTGCTTTTAGAGTTAAAATATTAGCGAGGCTTCTGTTTTTCTAGTGCAGTGAGAATATTGTAGTTTAGTCAAGAGAGATTTTTCTCTTGTATAACATCTTTAAAAGAAGTTGTTGTCAAATTCTTAATCTAAAACTATTAAAAGCTCTATTTGATGCTTGAGATTATTTGGGTAAAATATTTGTTTAGGTTTTTGAGTTAAGCCTCTTAAATGCTCTTGTTTGGTTATTAAGTTTAGCCATAAAAATCCTGTTTGGTTCTTGAGTTTAACCTAATATAAAAGATTTGTTTGATTGTGAGGGTAACCGATGTAAAATATTCATTTGCTTTAAGAATTAGTCAGTGTAAAATCTCATATTTGGTTGTAAGAAGGTTTGTGGGCATAATCTGTGAAAAACTCTTATCACATATAGTGGAAACTCTTAAGAAATGATTGGGGACAGAAGTAGACCAAGTGGTTAGGTTGGACCTATATAATCTTTTTGTGTATTTGTCTATTCCCTTATCTCTTTATTTTCATTTCTTTATCTCTTTGATTTTATTTCTTTTAATTATTATGCTTCCTATTCTCTATATGGTTTATAAAATTAATTTAAATTTTTTATAAATCAAGATTTTTACAATGGGACATTATTTTTTAAAAGCAACACAATTCACTTTCTTCTTATGTTTGGAGTCACTTGTCCAACAAGTGGCATCAGGGGTTAAATCTTATTATAAGACTAATTGTCTCGAGAGATAGAGTGATGATTTCAAACACTTTTTATATTTTTAAAAAAAGACTTTTCATGAATACACCTCCATTGTTTGATGATGAGAGGTTTAACCTAGAAAAGCTAGAATGAAAATTGTTTTAGAAGCTAATGAGTTTGATTTGTGGAATTTTGTTATCAATGGTTTATTTATCCCTACTTATTATTTTAATAATAAAGTAGGAAACAAAACAAGTAATCTTTGGACCAAAAAAATATAAGAGAAAATTCAAAATTAGTTTTAAATATCAACAATGGTGACGAGTGTTTTAAGAATTAAATAGTTCTTTTTTTAGTTTTCAATTGTAATTCAACCAAGGAAGTATGAGATATTGAACACGTGACTTCATACACAAGACGGGTGATAAATTAAGTGATTTGAAAAATGATAATTTAAAACAAAATAATTTTCTAAATCGGAGTTTAAAGTTAAAACGCTTGAATAAGAAGTGAAAAACAAGGTAAATAAATTAAGAGAAAAATAAAAGAGTTAAGGGAATAAAGATAACACAAGGAATCTATAGAAATTCAGCCTTAAAGAAGTGACATACTCCTCTCCTCGAAAACTAATCTTTAAAGTATCCAATAATGCTCGAGAGTTTTTAGAATGTTAAGCCTGCAACAATTCTACCAAACACTTCACTTTCACTATTTATTTTCGTTACAATTCACTCAAACAAAATTACTAGCATGGTCTTAGTCGAGAAAAGTATAAAATTGTTCACGAATTTTAAATACCACAATTCATCCCCTCTTGTGTTTTAAATCATTTGTCCAACAGTCAAGGCGCATCTTCCCCGAGCGCAGAAGCTTGATTATTTTCCCCCGTTTTTTTCCTGTAAAATTTATCATGCTTTGTGCTTTGGCTATAACAACAATGTGTATATAAGTATATTTTTACCTCAATGATTTGGAGTTTTATTTAATTTCTTATACTCGATATGTACTACGCATTGGTTAGGAGTTTTTGTTGCATTGGAACTTGCTTTTTGTTCCTGCAAATCAAAATTTGTTTGCCTCGTGGAAAATTTAAAATTTGTCTGCCTCACAAGCGTTGTTGATGTTAACCTGTCTGCCATGGTAGCTATATAGCAGAGTCAACTTTGGGTGTGAGAACATTCACAACTTTCTTTCATGAGAAGTGCCTTGTTGCGTTGAGGTGTCCAACATGCTCTTTAAACTCTATAGTCCCAATCAAAGTTTTGTAGCTCCTAGCTCCGATTGAGAAAAGTTAGTGATGTTCCTCTATATTCCTAAGAATCGTCCTCGACCAAAGATAAGTTTCCTTTTGTTGCCCCGAGGGTAGACCTGGTATGGATCAAGGAATTGAAGTTGAAATGATGGTTGATTGGATCAAACGTGACGAATCTTCATGTTTGATTTTGAATGCTCTTGATTCTGTGACCTCACTACTACAAATAATACATTTCATGACAAAACTTTCACCTCAACCTACCAAAAAACGAGGTCACAACTCAAGGCGCGCCATGTTTTATATTATTTTTTTAATAAATACCACATATTCTCTCAGTTATAAAATAAAACCAAAGGGTAAAATATTTCAGGACACGCTTCGAATCCCAACATCAAAATTTTATGTTTTTATTTCTTTAAAAATGGTATCTTTCTTTTTATTTTATTTTTAAATTTTAAATTAATGATCTATTCCTTCGGTTATATTTAATAACCGAGAGATTAAATTATCATATTTTACTATAAAAGCACTTGTTAATCAGATTTTACCCTAAATCTAACTTATATGTGTCGCTCCAAAGTCTTATGCATCATTTTTTGGGATGGATTGCAAGACAAAAAAAAATCTCCAATGTTCTTCAATCTTGAACAAAATATTTTTTCTACCCTTGCAATCTATCTCACATATTGATGTTGATGTTGTTGTTGTATTTTTGTAATAACATTTCTATGTTGTCAATCAAAGAAAACATCAAGAAATTTATTGTTTTCCTCAATTGAACACATTGAGAACTTTATTACTAAACACGATCATTCATTTTTCTTTCATGTTCTCTTTCATGTAAAAGCATTTGTCATGAAAACACTTGCTTAAGATAATAAAATATATCTAGGATGGATTGCAAGTACAGAAAAAAAATTTCTCTTGGTTGGAACAGATAACTTCTCAGAAATTTGAAAATAACGTAAATATAAATAAATAAATAAAACTTCTTTTGTTTGGAACAGACAACTCCTCTGAGTTATTCTCTAAGAATTCATTGTCAAACTTTTGATTTGTTTAAGCAATTTATTTTAATATTCTGTGTAAACAATGTAAATATAAAAATAAAAAAAATTTCCCTTGGTTTTAAATAGAACCCGAGAGGTATGCGGCTTGAGATGGAACATATTTTAATGTTTTTTTATTTAAAAAGAAACACATTTTACTTTGGTTTTGAGTGATAACTGAGGTAAAATATAAGCGTGTTTATTCAGTTTCTTCATCATCCATTTAATGAGTATCAAGCTCAAGAAACTATCGTCAATGATCCTCATGAAACCTAAAACCCTTATTATAAAAGCATTCTGAATATTTAAATTTGATAGTAGTGAATCCACAGAAAACTTAAACGTTGTTGTGACACTCTCTATGTTTAATTAGAACGCCATGAGATTTTATAAAGTAAATGTATCAATGTGATAGATTGCAAGAGTACAAAAAATTAAGCTTATTTAATATGTGATTGGTGAGATTGTATTTACTTTGCCAAATGTTTATGTGGTGAATTACAAGAGCAGAAAATCATCACGGATTAAAGGTTTGCATTCTTAAATAATCATATAACTTAATACTTATTTTACTTATCAAACCTTTTTTTTATATCATAAACAAATGAATGCAAAAGCAATAGAAAATATATTGCATTCAATATTTGATCTTCCTCAAGATCAATGAAACGAGGATCCCCAACATTTACCATTCTCCAAGATATCCAGCCTATGTTCTTCACCGGCAGTGATGATGATGAAGAATAATATTTTTACTTTAATATTCTTGTAAACAATGTAGTTTATAAACAAATTAATTTATTAATATTCTGTGTAAAAAATGTAATGAGTTTTATTTTAAAAATATATATT